GGAGGCAGGAGTTAGATTTTCAAATTAAAATTATATTGATGGTATATTCCCTATTTCAATAGGAAATATAAAACATACTCATAAAGACTTCAGATTCAGGTAGATCAGGAGGGTTACAAATATTCCTGATATGGTACTAGTTTCATTTTCTAAATTTTAATTTTCAGTAGTGGCAGTGGGGCTGCATTTGTGTAAGTCTGTTAAATCCATCAGAAACAAAGCTAGACTTTCAACCAAGGACCAGGAATGGTGATTTTAAACAGAAGACTTCAGCCAGCCACAGAACGCACCATTCCAGCTCACGAGCCATCTCTCGAGTGTCTGGGGGTACCATCCGGCTGACAAGTACGACTGTGCACGGTAAAATCAAAAGAAATTCCACAGGATGGGACATAAACTTTTTTGTCTCTATTTTCTTAAAGGAAATGTAGTTCTTTTTTTTTTCTTTTCTACAAACTAACTCCCCCCTCCCCTGCCCCACCCACACCGCCCTTATTCAGTATATCGAATGGGAGTTGTAACTCTTCAGGCAGACAGCTAACTGAATTACTGTACTCTAAAAACCAACCCTGAAAACTAATCATCTCATTCACTTACTGGAACTTCAGTGCTGTTGTCGACAAAAAAGAAAGTTACCTTAAGGCTCAGGGAAAGTAACTTATTCAATTCTGAGTGCAGCATCGCTTACTCTCCCGTCCATTGGAAACTAGCAAAATGCATTCTGGATCAGTAATACAAACTTTCTAACATTAGCAAAGACTTGTACTTTTCTCTTACAGAGAGAACAATATTCATAAGCAGATTACGTAGGGAGCCTGAGAAACCATGATCTACATTACACAAAGAGTCCATGTATTTTGTGATCAAAAAGTGCTTTATCTTTGAGAAATGTCAGGGTTAAAATGGAAATATACAATGTAAAATCACTTCACAACTTTTTCAAGTGAAGTACAAAGAGGAAAAAGGAGCAAAAAGATGGAGGCTCTGCTCTCCGAACAGGCCTTCCGCATGCCACTTAGGGGTATTAACGTAAAGTTGTTTTAAGAATTAATACTAGCGGGGTCTCACACCACTCTACTCTAAAACCTGAGATTGGACATCAAAGCCGTCAACTTTGTTACTCATCAGAGCAATTCTGACACTTCCTAAAAATAGAAGACAACTCAATCGGTTTAACTCCAGGGTCAAAAACATGAACTTTCCCCAATCAAAAAGGAGACTGATCACAAACATATACCGAGTGGTGCAGAGCAACCACTCGCAGTAAACGAGTCATTTTCACCTAAGCAAAAAAGTCACTTCTCTCCTTCCCCTCTCATCAAGGCCACACTTTTTTCAAATGAATATCTACTGAGAGATCAGTTGTGCATTGGACGAAGTACCATAATTGGGTTAAGAATGAAAATAAAATTTACAGTGAAGAATACTTATGTGCGTGGCTTACACACTCCAGCTTCTCCTCCAGGGCATCCACCTGCAGGAGCAAGGCGGATGCAGCGTCACCTTGCGGGTTACACCCTACACCCCTGTGCAGCCAGCCACCAGAGTGCCTGAAGTGTGTAGCCGTTTACAGACCACTCAATATGAGGGCATTACTATAACCAGCCTCTTCTGCCCACAACCCTGCATTTTCAGATAAGACAGGATAATTGTTTTGTTTTGAGAAAACCGAAGCTTGACTCTCTTAGAAGACCTGCAATTTCCTGCCAAGTGAGCCAGAGGTAACAAAGGAAGCAGGAGGCTGATGGCCGCCCGCGCCGGGCCCCTCGGTCACTTGGCAGGAAATAATTATGGGAAGTGACGTGACAGCAGCTGTGTGGATCACAGCCACAGACATTGATACCACCTACATGCCTCCGACAGTTACATAGGGTGTCTGGGTTTTTGGTTTGGTTTTCACTTTGATTTTTGGTGTCATACAGATTTGTACCGGTTTCTGCAGCATATGCACTGAGCAATCTGCTGACTAGAACTGCCGTTCCACTTGCTGAAACGATGCATAGGGACAAGAGAAACCAGAAACGAGTAGAATCTCTTCACAAGTGTTTTTTTTTTTTGCTCCTTTGATTCTATTCCTAAAATTTGGTATTTCATTTCTGAATACAGTAGTTTCAGAAACAACCCCTGCCAAAGATGTGGAAAGGGGTTTTAGTGCTTAACCTCCCAGGAGGAGGACCATTCCGATCAGCTAGGATGGTCGCCAACTTACAGACAGAACCTCCAGCTCCTCACAGGAACAACTGCAAACCAAAGCCAGCAAGCGGCTGTCTCCGTCTGCACGACGCTGCGATCCGGCTGGCGTTGGCGAAGACCGTCTCCTTAGCAGGCTGACAGTTAAGAAGGAATCTATGCGCTTCAGATTTCTGTTGTCCCTAGTGACTGGAATGAGGGTCAGTGAAGTGCTACAACCCACCCCCGTCCTTCTGCAACCTTCCTGCAGCAGGAAGAGGCGCGAGGCGCCCCTGCACGAGAGACAACCCTTAGAGATTGGTTAAGACTTAAAAACCCACCACTATGACATTTACCACTTAATCTTACACAGGCAGGTCAAAATTTTAATATAAATTACTTTTGCCAACACATAGCTTATGCATTCTTTGCTCCTTGTTTTGGAGGATTCTCAAATTGATATCTAAAGACTTACATATGATATCTTACTGTTACATGGTCTAATGACTAAGAAAATTTCTCTGGTAACCAAAGCTGATGCCGTATATGGCCGTGCTCTTGGCATACACTCCATATGCCTCAGACCACTTCCACATTCTTTCTATTCAGCTAATTATAGCTTAGTAGCCACTGGGGAAGGACTGTGAAGACCTGTCATTTCTACAGAATAGAAAGGCAAGGCTTGTTACTGCAATTCAGCCAACAATTCCGCCAAACAAAAAAAGGAAAAAAAAAAAGCCAACCCCTTGGAAAGGAGAGGTACTGCACCTTGGCTCACCGCAGCTGAGCAACAGAACCACACTGAAGCAAGAAAACGAGTTGGTCTACACAAAAATTGTACGTGGCTTGAAAACAAAACAAAGTTACAGCAATCAACTAAAGCTGCAACCTTGATTTTCACTGCTGCCTTAGAGTCTGAAAGTAGACAGTTTCTGCAAACCTAATGCTAACTTCTCAGCTCTTTCACTAAAACTAGTTAGGAATTTGTTCTCCGCAGCAAAGAAAAAAAAACACTCAAAACACATAGGTAGGTACAGCAGGACATTGTTGAAAACAGCTGCCTTGTGGTACAAAATACAGTACAAGTATACGGATGTCACTAAGACATCAAAAATACTATTGCTCCCATACAATTTAGGAAACATTCTTTGCAACGGAGAAAAATTTAAAAGAAAAGCTTTAAAAAAACCTGTTTAAAAATCTACTGTGGATGATGAGTAGAGAAATAGTCTGAAAAGGGCACCAATGTCTGTGGCTTTTCCACTGTGTTAGTTTTGTTTTAAAATCTAAGATCAACAGTATTTGGAATCAGTCCTTTTTAAAAAAAGCCTAATTATATATACACAATTATTTCCCTCCCTCAGCCACAAATACATGAAAACGACCTTTTTGTAGTTACTTATTTCCCAATAAATACAAAAAGATTGTATAGATTGAATAATACCAAAGTAAGATAATAAAAAGGATATGCAATAAATTAAAAAGGCAGCTCAAACAAAGGGCAGGCGTGCAGTTAAAACAAATCCTAAGGTCGTGGAGGTGGGGTTACGTGCCTCCAGGTTGAGAAGTGTCACACAAAGAATACCAGAAAACTTTGGAAAGAACATCAACTACCACTCAATTCAAAGTTGCCTAGATCTATGGCATTCGAGGAATACCTTTGGATGGAGGTCGAATTAACTTGATTAGTAAAAATAATTTCTACTGAAAATCCATTTAAAATTTAGAAGAGGCGATCCTTGAAAACCCCAACTTTTATTCTTGAAAGACAGCTGGGTGAACTGGCACAAGCCAGCTTGTTGAAATTCCAAGATGGTATAAAAATGCTTCCAGGGTAGAGTCAGCATATTCACACTTACTTCAGTTCCACTCACAGATGGATTTCGGCTTCCGCCGGGGGCACTGCTTGAATCGCTAATCCATCATTCGCCAACTTTGACTGTGAGGTACTGGTACAATGGAACAAGTTCTTAAAAATCTATTTTAAAAGAATAAATGATGCTGGAATTCTGAACCTGAGGATCTTTAGTGTGTGAACAAATCCACAGATTAAACTGAAGGTAAATGAAGACTTCAGCTTTGATTATTTCCAACTTTTCCACGAGGACGTGTAATCTGTTAAAGCTCAGGCTTGGACAGCCACACTGTTCCTTTAGTATCTTCGAGGTTTACGCTTTAAGATTCAGCCAACCAGTGGCCGTACCAGCCAATCTGTCGGCACTCACTGGCTCACACAGGGAGACCCAGGGAGCTGGCTCTGCACACCTAAGCCGTTTGTTTCTGGATGGCGACCCTTGCGAGGAGAGAACACGGAGGGACTTCAGTGGGCAGCAGAGTCCGCTCCAGCGCTCCGCCTGCCTTTCTGGCCTGCCTCAGCAATCCCCATTATTCTGAACTTCCAAAAAAAAAGAAAGAAACCCAAAAAAACAAAACCCAACAAAACAAAACAAAAAACACCTTTTGGCCAACTATTTCAGTACTGGATTCTGGTTCAAGCATTGGTATCTGAATTCATCTGCATCCCGGAAAACGATTCTGCAAAGAAGACAGGGGCCTTGGTCCAGGTTCCATGCAAAACCATTTTTTTTTCCCCCGAAACAATGGATCCAATTCATTTGTGGCTTCTCCGATGGCTTCTGCACATTCAATTCTGCCCTGTCCATGATTCCGCGGCATCCCCTTCCGTAACCCTCCTAACGGGGGGACTGCACAGGCCTCTCTCTCCTAAGAATCCCGTGAAGATCCAGATGCTGATTCGATGGAGGTGAAGGGACACTGCCGTGGTGGGCGTGCAGCGCCCTGGGGACCCCGGCCCGCTTCACTGTCGCTCTGGGGACGTTACTGCTTCTCTAACTGTCCGTGTCTGTTGGCTTGCGGTTATTTCTCTTAACTACAGGATTTTTTTTTTCTTTTGTTTTCTCCCGGTGGGGCCTCCCTCGTCCCTGGGGCGGACGGGCAGGGGCCGGCGGGCGCGCCTCAGTCCTCGTCCACCTCCTCGCCCTCGGACTCGCCGCCGCCGCTGCCCCCGGCGCGGCGCTCGTACAGCTTGTCCCTCTGGCGCTCCTGGATCTCCTTCATCTCGTCGGCGTAGCGGCAGAAGGCGCCCCCGAACTTGCCCCAGGCCTTGAAGGGCACGGTGATGGCGTTGCGGTAGGACGGCTTCACCTCGCTCACGCGCAGGAACACGCCGTACTTGTTGCAGCCCACGTCGAAGAAGAAGCGCTTCGAGTCGACCGTGATGGACGTGCCCTCGGGCAGCTCCCCGTACAGGCCGGCCCCGGGGCCGCCGCCCGCGCCGCCCGCCAGCTCGTCGTCCTCGGCGCCGTAGTCGTCGATGAGCTTGGCCAGCGCGTCGCGGAACTCGATGAGGCCCTGCGCGGGCAGCGCGATGGTCTGGCCGCTCTGCAGGCCGGGCCCGGGCCCGCCGAAGCCGCCGCCGCCGCGGTTCACGGTCTGGCGGATGCGCAGGAAGCGGCCGCGCTGGTTCTCCTTGAGGTCCAGGTAGTACTTGCGGTTCTCGCGCACCAGGAACTCGCTCTTGAGCGCGCGCCGCGGGCCGCCGTCCTCGGCGCCCGCCGCCAGCTGCTCGGGGCTGCTGGGGCCCAGCTGCGCGTAGTGCTCGATGAAGTCGCCCAGCGAGTCGCGGAACTCGGCGGCCACCGCCATGGACAGCGTGAGCCGGCTCTTGGAGCCGCCCGCGCCCACCTCGGCGATCTTGAGGAAGCGGCCCTTGGCGTTCTGCTTCACGTCCAGGTAGAAGCGCTTGTTCTGGATGTCCAGCCGCTTCGAGGCCAGCTCCTGCGTCTCCTGCTCGCCGCCGCCGCCGCCGCCGCCGCGGGGCGCGGGCTGGAAGCCGCCGGGCCCGCCGCCGCCGCCGCCGCCGCGCTCGCTGCCGCTGTCGCCGTCCGCCATCTTCTCGCCGCCGCGCTCGCGCCCCCGCCTCCGCCCTGCGGCTCGCGTCCGGGCCCCCCGGCCTCGCCCGCCGGCTCCTCACGCGCGCCCGCCGCTCATCGCCGGCCGCCGCCGCCGCCGCCGCCGCCCCCCATCGCCTCCGCGCCCCGCCCCCGCCGCTTCCGCGCCGCCCGGCCCGCTTCCGGCGCGCGGCGGTCCCGGACGGCCCTCCGCCCCGCCCGCGGCCCCTGGCGGCCGGAAGCCCGCGCGCCCCGAGGCCCGGCGCGCGGGTGACGTCACGGGCCGCGTCGCCTCGCGCCGGGCGGGCGGAAGGGCGGCCGGGCGGGCCCTGGCGCCTGCCGGGCCCCGCGTGGTCGCGGCCTGCGGCTGTGTACGCGGCTCGTGCGGGAGGCGGTTCCCGGCGGGGTTGGCGAAGGCCTCGGAAGCCGCTTGGGGTGCCGGGGCCTGAGCTGTGGACGTGGGGGACCCGGAGAGATGCGGGAGTCTGGACCCCGCAGCCGTGCTGAGAGGTGTTATTTCCGGCAGGGAGGCGGCCTTCAGGGTCCCAGAGGTAGTGAGCTGTCGCTGTCGTTCAGCAGCTGACAACGCCTTCGAACGCCGTAACTTGCTGACTTTAAGTTTCCCCGTCCTGGGAGCCTTGGGAAGTGTCACGAGAGGCACTTACCGAGGACAGACCCTGCAGTTGCACGACCCGGTTCGAAATGTGTAAGCTTGACTAGTTAATGTGCCCAAGCTGAACTTTTCTTTTTGTCGTGAAATACAGGTGTAATTAAACAGTGTGGTAAAGGATCCGTGCCCAGAGTGTATCAAGAACTTGTTGCAACTCCGTGTACATAACGTTTAAAAAAAAAAAGGCAAGGAATTTCAGGCCTACCTTGACCCAGGCGATGGGCTACACCTCTCCTCCTGACTGACTCACTGCTATTTGCAGGGGAAGGCAGCAGAAGACGGCCTAAGTCCTTGGGCCCCTGCACCTACTTGCCTCTTGGGCTGAAGGCTCCCTGCTTCTGCTCCAGCTCCTGGCTTGGCCTGGGTGGGCTATCCCCACTGCTTGTGGAGGCCACTTGGAGAGTAAACCAGTGGATGGAAGATCTCTCCCTCTCCACCTGCTTTTCAAGGAAAAAATTTTTAAAGGATTTATTTATTTTTAGTTGGAAGTCAGGGAAAGAGACAATAAGATCTTCCGTCCATTGATTCACTCCCCATGCGGGCGCAATTCCCAGAGCTGCGCCTTTTTAAAGCCAGGAGCCTGGAGCCTTTTCTGAGTCTCCCACTGCGTGCAGTGTCCCAAGGCTTTGGGCCATCTTTCACTGCTTTCCCAGGCCATAGGCAGGGAAATAGATGAGAAGTGGGGCCCCTGGGACACAAACTGGGGTCCATATGGGATGCCAGCACTGCAGGTGGAAAATTAGCTTGCTGCGTCACGGCACTGGCCCCCCAGTCACCTTCCTGTGTAGGGGCTCCTGCTGCTCCATTCGTGCAAAGGAGTCTGTCTCTGTTCACCTCTGAACCCTTTGGAGTGAGCGAACAAAGCTTTTCCTATGTTGGGTTAATGCCTGGTCTCTTTGAAATTCTACTCTTTTGTTTTTAAATCTGACCTGGGATTTTCTCCCCTTCCAGATAGTCAACATTCACACATTTTTGGAAACTTCATGGTTCTGATTTTTAAATGCCTGAGATCATAGAATTTTTATGTCCCATATATAGTTTGTCTGGAATGTATTTTGGTGTGTAATGTGAAGTGAAGAATCCGAACAATGTCCTTCAAATGGCCAGCCAATTGTTCCAGTACTATTTATTGGATAATCCTTCAGGGACGGGGCTCAGCAGGTGGACACAGGCACAGGTTATTTTAGGCAGAGGGAACATATGTCCCAGCTGCTGAGTATGGGTGTCTGGAGCCCAGGACCTGTGAGGAGTGGAATGGGGGGAGGCCGTGGGGGTGGCTCGGCTGAGGCCCACCGTGGGCACCTTTGATGGCGGGGGCAGAGAGCTCCGGCTGGGTTGAAATGTAGGTGGGAGCTTTGGAGCCATGCCAGTACTGTGCTGCTTGCTGCCCTGTGCTTTGTGGAGCTGACCTGTGGGAGTGAGCGGCATGGGAGGGCTGTGGTAGGTCGGGGAGGAACTTGGAGCATTCAAGAGACAGCTGAGAGGTCCCAAGCAAGTGTGGAGGGTGACTGGGGAGCAGCTGCCTTCCTCAGCAGAGGGGAGAGAGTTTCAGGGTTAAGCTGAGGTCTGTACCTACCTAGTGCTGTGGGCATCAGGGGCTTGGCACTTGGCACTCAGGGCTGTTCCCATGTATTTTAGCAATAGCACACTTTGTCCCCAGAAGTTTATGATTCTGGGTGGCCTTAAGCCTCTGCATCAGCTGTGTTTTGGCAAGTCGGGCATAGCATGAGTGAAGCTGGCTGATTGGGACACCCGAGTCTAGTGGCAGGGTGAGCCATTGGGGGCAGATGAGCCAGCAGATGGGCTGTTTTGCCCATCTTATTTTTATTGCTATTATCATATTATGATATAGTTCCATAGGCCTTGGGATTTCCCTTACCACCACTCCAAATTCCCCCTCCGAGTTCCCTTATATTATTACTATAACATTGTTCTTCATACATAGTCCTGTGTTCATCATTGCAGGCGTGGACAATGGCAGAGTCCATCATTCTATTGTCAAGATAGGTAACAGTTTCATTGGTAGTCCATCTTTGATCTGGAAGTAGAGATGCACACTGCATGGTAGCTTTGCATGTGGATATCATAGTCTCCATTGCACAGTTACTATACATCCCCTTAAACAAAAAGCCACAATAAAAAATCAACAACAGGAAGAAAAATAGAAATTTACAGCACCATGAAGTTATCAAGAGGTTTTGACAGTTCAACAGTCCTGAATTGTTGTCAATCCTGCCACTCCAATTGCGATGAAATCCTTCCAGAATCCACTTGCTGTTATGAATGCTCTGATATTCAGTGCTGACACTTGGTTGGAGCAGTTGATTAATTTGTTCTGTCCTCTGTCCTTTGCCATGGTATCAGGTGTCCTCTGGATGTTCCAATGTACTGCCATATCCTCCATTTGGATATGCTGTCCGCTGCTCCATCTGAGCCACTGAGGAGGCCCAGCTCTGACACATGCATTCCATGGTCAGACCATGGAACCTGCAATTTTCTCTATGGTTGTGGTTCTGAGTCCGACAGTTCATTTGGTAGGGAATCGTCAAAAAAACCTCATCTGAGGCCATCCCAGACCTGGTTCTTGTGTGTGTTTGCCAATACAGGGTCTGGCACAGTCTGGCACAGTCTGGCACGCAAATCAGCTTACGCACACACTGGTAGTTGCAATTGCTGGGTCAGTTCTATCTCCAGCCCTGTATTTTACACAAACCAAAGGATGTTGGAGTCCAGCCTGATCCTACCCACCACATACTTGGCCTTCATGCAAACCAGTGGCAGCTGCAGCCTAGTTGGAGTGACCCACAATAACCCCCACCAGGCCTGCCCCCTATCCTAGTTCCTGTGCGTGCCAGTATGTACAGGTGACTGGTCCCGTCTGCCCCATATCCCATTCGACTCTCATACATGTCAATGGACATTGAAGTCCAGTTCATCTCAACCAGCCCCACTATCCAGTCCACACTGGTGCCAGTGGGTACCACCATCTGTCCAGCCATGCCTGCACCTGGCAGAATTTGCCTCTCGTGCCAGTATCTGCCAGCTGATGCTGTGGCAAAACCCAACCCACCTACACCCACTCTGACTTATGCATGTACCAGAAGGTACAGTTAGCCCAGCCTGGCTTTTCCCTGATCCAGCTCACATATAGCCCATCAAATGTTGTGGCCCTGCCTGACCTGGTCTGCCCCCATCCCAGCTTTCATGCTCACCAGTGGGAGTAGTGGCCCAATAGGGGTACCCCCGCAGTCTCCCCACTGGGTCTGTCCTCACCACTCCCTGGGTTTCATATGTGCTGGTTGGGTGCTGTGGCCTAGTCTGGCACAGCCCGCCTCAACTCAGCAGGACTGTGTCGCTTCTCTGTCTCTACTTGTGCTTTCCAAATAAATAAAAAATGTCTAACAGAACAAGTGCTCACACGTGAATGCATGGCAGGAAGTGTGTGGGGAGAAGCTACTGGTGGCAGAGGGCATAGCCAAAGGCCACAGGGGCCCATGAGGCAAGAAGGGGTACCATGGGGTTGTGCCAGAAACCCCTGGAGGCCTAGAGTGGGCGCAGGGGTAGGCACTGGGGAGGGGGCTGGGGGCTTGGAAAGGGACCAGCGTCCTGGTGTGGAGACAAGGTGGCCTGAACTGCGTGTAGGCACTGAACCTGCCGATGGGGCTGCAGGCAGCAGATGGGAGTGGGCTTTGCCAGGGCTGGGAGGTGGGGCGGGGTGGGTGGGGATGCCAAGCTTGAGGGATGGCTTCAGATGGGCAGTCCTGAGCAGAGCCAGGCCCGGCATTTGATGGAGCTGGGCCAGGAGAATGAGGAAGAGGTGGTTACATGTGACAAGGAGGGAATGACCTTCCAGTTTTGGACTTTGAAATAAAAAATGTCAACTGACTGGGCGGATATAAGAACGGTGTCGTGCTAACCTGCCTCTTCCTCCCTCTCCATTTCCTTTTCAGCTTGTGTGTGTGTGCGTGCCTCTGTGTATGTGCACATATGTGTGTGTGCATTTTTTCATTTCTGTTTCCCAAAACAAGGCCGCTGTCTCACCCAAGTCAGAATTGAGAAAGCAGCACGCGCGCGCGCGCACACACACACACACACACACACACACGCATGCGCACGCACTGCTGCCGCCCCAGCTGGCGTTTCCTCCCTGCCTCGCCCAGTGTCCTGATTGCAGCAAGGGCACTTCCCCAGCACTCAGCGGCGCAGGCCTTCCTTCCCCTGGTCCATGGCTTTCTTGGTTGATTCTTTAGTATACCAACAGCATCTGGAGGAGCAGGGGCTGGGTCTTGTGGCCACTGTCCCCCTGTGGGGTTTGAAAAGCTGCAGGTCCTCAGAAGCTTGCCG